AAAAGAGTTGGAACGATAAGTTGTTTGGGATCATATTATTGGAAGGGAAATTTGGATATGTTAGAGACGGGAAAGGGGCGATGTCCTTAATTATTTGATGAAAAGATAATTAATTACTCGGCGTGCAAAGCATAGGCTTAGGAAGCAGTGGGAAAAGAAAAAAAAGAGGAACAGAAAAATTATTTATTTTTGTGAAGAAATTTTTTTCGTTAAAAGTTATAATATTTTTTTGTAAGTTAAATAAAATTGGTGATTACCTTGAATTATAAAAGAGGAATTCGTTACAAAGTATGTATTTTGTAAGGATTATATAGTATAGAATATATTTAGGTTGATAATCAAAATGGATCAGAATAATGCTCCGGGTTTGCGTAGAAGTTAGATCTGTGGGAATTATGAAGTGCTACTCATGGTGCGGCTCCATAGGACCAGGGGCAGGGATCGGGGAAGATGATAAGACGAATTATGAAAGACGTAAGACGGTGCTATCGCTGCCAGGAACGCGCACATATTCAATATAGATGCCCATGGAATCGAGAGAGAAGGGCATATGGTAATCGGACGGAGCAAGCTCGAGCAAGGGTGGAAGAGGTACCAGCGAGACAGATAGCGGCAATTGTGGGGGCTCGGACGGAGCAAGTAAAAAGCGGTGAATCGAGGCCGGTCGCAGAAATTCCGAGAACGAGGAGAGATGAAGAAGAGGAGCAGCGTGAACATCGTCCAAGAACAGCTAGCGTGGAATGGCCGATAGTTGATTTAACAGTCGAGAGTGAGGGCACGGACGATAGAACGGCGGGAAACGTTATATCGAGGGGAGAGGGTATTGCGGCGGCCGACCGTATAGGAACTAATCAAGGAGTGATGGGAACCGAAGAATGGAGAGATCTTCTGGCAGTTTTGGACAATGTTAATGAGCTTGGAGGCTGGTTGGATGTCATGGTAGAGAATTCGGAGTGGGGAGGATCGTCTTTTCTGAAGGGGGCGTGTTAAGGGAGCAAGCTATTAAGCCTAGCACTAAAGGAAGATAATGGCAAAGTATATGAATAATAAGGAGTTGAATAAATAAATATTAAAAAAAAGTTGATTGATTTTTGATAAATAAAATAATAAATAAACGGGATGATTTTGTAAAAAAATAAATATATAAACGCGAAAAAAAACGATTATTATTATTTTTACGTACGATTTCATATTTTAAGGAAAGTAAAATAAAGAAATAAAATTATCGATTTTGGTGTTTCAAGAGAAAAGAAATATTGAAGTAAAAAAAAAGTTGATATATTGTTTTGATAATACTAATAAAAAGTATAATAAAAATTAAAACCATTGGTATCTTTACAAAATACAAAATTAGATATAATATCGGATCGGTAATCGGCCGATATCTATTTATTATCGGGAATAGCGGATCGGATTGGCCTCCAAAAAGTGATATCGGTACACCCCTAGCAATCTTAATGCTAGTCAAAAAGTCAATAGTCCCATTAGGCTGAACCATATGCATCTGATCTGATTTATTATCTTTCCTGAGTCGATGGTTAAAGAAACTAGCACTTGTTTACTGAAAAAATTTAAAATAAAATAGCATAAAATTTAGTTAACTCAGCCAAAGTAATCAGCCCAACATTATTTTCAGGATTTGATCTAACTTTAGAGTGACATATCATATTTATAGCATCTTGTTGAGCTAATCCCCGAGTTGAAATATAATCCCCATTGCGCATATAATCACTGTTTCACTGTTGTCTACACTATATAGTAGGCCTATTCAAAAATAATTCGAATATTCGATTCGAATAATTCGAATCTAATCGAATAATTACGAATACGAATAATAAATTATTTGTTTTATCTGAATACGAATAATCATTTATTCGATTCGAATAAACCGAATTATTCGAATAAAACGAATTATTCGTAATATTTAATAAATTGTTTAATAAATCTAACATTTGTCATTTCTATTTGTTGACCTGCCAATCTGACAGGTGATGTATTTGTGTTTATAAAGATTCTAGCACAAATTTAAAAATTTCTGAAGTGAAAATTTAAATTTTTATTTGCCCCATTTTTTGAATCTCACGAAAAGTTTATTTTTTGAATCTCATAATAAATTATATTAAAAATTAAACAAACCAGAGGTATATAAAAATATATTACATCTCTAACAATAATTATTGTTAGCTAACCTAATTATGTTAGAGGAGAATGCTTCTGATGAAATTATGCTTGATGTTGAAGATAAGAAAATTTCCTCACAAAAGAGTGCAATCATATGGGATCAATATCAAATCCTTAAAGAAGGTCCTTGCAATCATTGCAAGAGTATTATAAAATGTAAAGGCAAAACAACCTCTCCTCTTTTTAATCATTATAATAGGTTTCATTCACACCTTAGTAAAAAAAATAATAAAATTGACATTTTTTTAAAGTCTACACCAAATTCTTCAAAAAAAAATTAATTTTAAGGGAAGAAAATAAAAGAAAAACTCTTTGCCTTAAAAATTGGCTTAAATTATAAAATAAATTAATAATATACATTTTAATTTTGTTTATAACTTTATTATATATTATTTATTATCAGATTATTGATTACATATTATTATAATTTTTTCTGTTTAAAATCAAATTTGTAATAAAAAAATTTGTCAATATATTTGAGTATGATTTATTTTATTAAAAAAATTTATTCGAATAATTCTAATAGAATACAAATAGTAGATTTTATTATTCGTACGAATTCAAATAGTAAATTATTCTATTCGTTTAAACGAATCGAATATGAATAATGCACTATTCGATTCGAATTCGTTTTTGAATAGGCCTACTATATAGGAATATAATAAATACTATTAGATTAACAATCATAAGATTGTACTTTCTAGAGTCATTTTCGCTAGTTGAAAATAGCAGCCAAGCTATAAAAAGCAATAATAACTATAATTGAATAATGACTAATGTTGGATAATTAGGCCAAGCTACTAGCGGAGAAAATCCGTTAGCATCATAGGCGTTTTAATTTATAATAGTTTCTTTCAAATTTGATGATATATTTTTAAGTAAAACCAAGAGTATAAAATAATCATTTCTACTATAAACTCGGTTTATTCAATTTTTTATCTTTGAAGTTGGTTGCAAAAAATTTTTCTTTAAAGAAGATTGATTAATTTGCAATTTCTATACATAGAAAATCTCTCAAATTGATACAATTTATATTATATATGTCATTAATTAAACCTAATCCTCAAATATTTTTGCTCAAATATTTTACTCAATAAAGTTCTAAATTTAATAAATTAATAAAAATTTTATGATTGTTGTAACTCTACTTTCTGATGCAATTCAGCGAAGATCATATTAAGATTATTTTATAGCATAACTTTTACCCAGATCCCTTTAGAGCTAATACATAACAGCAAAAAGCCAATATAACGAAGATTTTATAATGAATGGGAAACGAAATCACGAAGACAATTATCAAAAACTATTTTGATAAATATAGCGAATTAATGCGAGGTCAATATCGGGAAAAAGGCACGAAATCGGTACCGCAATAAAATAATGATTGTTGAGGACTGAGACTGAACTAATTATTTGAGGCCTACACAAATTCTTTTTTTATATGTTTATTTTCAACACACTAAAACGCGAATCAAAATTAATTTTTTTTAAAAATGAAAATAAAATAAATAATATTTAATATATATTTTTTTTAACCCGAAAAAGTTTCATATTGTTTTGTTCTTTTTATATAAAAATAAAATATATCCTTGGAAACTTTACAAATAAAAATCAATTAACCCAAAAAAAATAATCAACAAAAATTAAATAATATTATAATGTTACAACTGACTATTTTCATAAAATCAATAGAAAAAATTATTCTATTTCACCTTTTTCTGAACAATTTATCATTTAAAACTGAATGTGCTTTTTCTGGGCAATTTCATTTTATATCTGAGCATTAAGAAATGATTCTTGACACTCAGTATTTTTTAAGAGCTTTGTGCATTCTCACATTTAAAAGTGTTTCAATTTTATTTTTGATAGATTAAATAGGTTAATTTTAAAATAAAATATGTAATGTCGTTTTTTTAGAATTTTTCTCTAATTTTTAGTTATTTTTAATTTTTTCACTCATCCTAATTTTCTGTCTTTTAAATCCATTTTTGTCGACATTTGCCATTTTTTTTCTTTTTTTCCTAAAATAATTTCTTTTATCTTCCTTAATATCAATTCTTTAGTCATTTATACACCTTTTTTTCTTTATTACATCTTATTATAATTATAGGAAATATAGATATTTTAGTAATAATTTAATAAAATTTTAGATTGAAAAAATAATTTAATTATAATATACAATTAGAAGATTAAAAGCCCATCTCTAAAATTCGGGGTTGATTTAAAAGTAAGAAATTATAAATAGGGCTTTTTTATTTTTTATTACCAAACTCGAATCAGGTTAAATTTATTTTATGTAAATTGTATTGGCTAGAAATGAAAAAGGGAAAAGAATTTTTAAAAATGAAAAAAAATATAGGGAATTAAAAAGGATGATAGATAAAATAAAAAAATGATTTTAAAAGGGACAAATGAGAATAATAAAAAAAATGAGAGGAAAAAAAATTTAGAACGTCGGGAAATTCTAAAAAAATGGATTAGAAATATAGCATAGAGATCGTAAAAGTTAGAAGACATTATTAACAGCTATAGAGTGAGGTTGATTGGTAAAATGAACAAATAAACTACATTTTATTTTTAACAAGAGAATCTAGTATTAATTCCAAATTTTATAAAATTGGATGTGAATCATAAACTGACTATAGAATATGGTTTTTGCGCATCCAAAAATTTTCTAAGCAAAACATAAACACTCAATTTGGAAGCACAATAAAAAAATAAAAAAGGAGCTGATAATCGTTTTTTTTATAAAGAATTATGTCAGGATAGTATATCATTCAAAGTCATTTTGTGAGATATCACTCAATTATCCTGCTATCATTTTTGTTTACCATATGTTTGTTTTTTAACAATGTTTTTTCGGAATGTTTGAATTTTTATATAAAAATTTTTTGTTACGACCATATATACATGCTTTTATTAAATAAAGCAACATTTAAATAATAACAAATTCGTTGTTGGTAATATAAATTTATATAATATTTAAATCAGGGAATTTCTAAAAATTTAGGGATGAACTAAGTTTTTTTAATCATAGGGAACTCATAAAAATGATATATATGAAGGCCTGATTAATCTTTATTTTGTTTAAAAAACGTTCTGGTAACTTTAAACTTATCTAATTTTGTTTTTATTATAAAACTTAGGGAGTGCTCATAAATAAAATATTTTATAGGGTGCTAGGCGCTCCAATTGGCCCTCCCTTCTGACTCCAATTTAATTTTAAAATGATAAGTTCTATCAAATTATATAATTTAATATTAATTAATCATTTGAATGTACTATTTTTAATGTATTTCATATTTTAGAAAATATACCTTTTTTTATATACTTATTATCAATTCTGCCTTTAAATATTAATTTAAAACTAATAATGCCACAAGATAATACATTATGATTATTGTATTATTATTTATACATAATATCTGAAACTTTTGTCAAAAGGTTATTTTAGTAAAATCTACTGGCTTTGAATAATATTTATTAAAGTATTTAACAAATAGGTATAATGAGAGTTCTATTCTGTTTTAGCTTAAAATTTCCAAATCTTTATTCAAAACAAATTTATATAAATTCATTTTAGTTTTGATATTCATATAAGATCTTTTTTGTTATATTACTGTTCTTTCATGAGTTTTAGATTTTTTTAAATTATTTATAACATTTTAGTAATTGTACATAATAATCTAATTAAGATATTTTTTAATATAAAAACAAAACAAATATTTAAAAAATTTGAAATAAGTTGAATTTCTGTAACACTAAATCTTATCACAAAACATGAAGGATAAAAACAAATTAAGTTAACATAAGTTTATTATATATAAATCTGTACTATATTTTTAAATGGGCTAAACCTTCTCAACAGTATTTATAATTATTTGGTTTGTTCATTTCTTTGAAAATTTTCTCATAATTTTAGATAATTATAATGGTTTATATTGGCTTCATAGTTTACAGTTTGATACTCCAAATACAAATTAACAATGCTTTTATAGTAGTAATGAGAGAGCCAACCAGTTTTTTGATTGGTACATTTTAATTTTGATTGATTTAGGCTTTGTAAAAAAAAAATTTTAGTCAGGCTCAGTTAGACATAAATTTTTATTTATTTAAAAAAATACAAGGTTTATTACCAGAGATGCTTGATATCACCTCTTGGGTTGCCTATATCACTTATACATATACTAAAAAATTATATATTTTATTGTATTTCTTTCCCTTTTTAAAAATTTGAGCCACTGGGCCAGACTTGAACCTCTAGTATATATTTTTTATTTAAAAATTAAATTATATGACTCATGCCATTCCAAGCTTTAGGGTGGGGTCCTGGTTCATCTTATTCTAGGCTAAACAGCTTTTGAACTTGTACACCCTATTTTGGCTTATCTTAGGTGTTTGGTGGCATTGTTTTTTTTGTTTTGTTTTTTCATTCAAAACTACAGCCAGTAGTTTGGTAATAAGTTAAATCAGGAATCACAGGCAAAAGAAGGAAGCAGATTACAGGCTACTCCAACGAAGAATTCTACCTTTGTCAGCCAAAATCTGCCAGACCAATTTCCTAAGCATTCACCCCTTTCTAGGCTGATAAGTAGGGTTGTTAAAAAGCCCTATTTGGGTCGATTTTTACAAACGACCCTATTAAGATTTTTAGCCGAAATAATATGGGTTCAAACCGTTCTGCCATCTATAAGCAAAATCTCTAAGCTTACATAAGATTATTTTGGCTAAAATCTTAATCTGAATCGGGCTTTTTAACAACCCCAATGATAAATGTATATTTTTTTTAAAAAAATATATAATTTTTAATATATTCTTAATATATTTTATTTTGATTATCGTTTATGTTTTGTATTTAATTTTTGATAAAAATTATGGGAGGATAAGTAATCTATTATAATTTAGGGTTTTAAATGATTAATATAATAAAATTAGATTGAATAGGATTGATATCAATTATCAAAAACATTTACCCTTTTGTGCTAACTTTTAAATGCCTCAAATTTTTTTTTTTAAAAACGGTGGTATTTATTAACCCTAGTATACTTAACATTAGCAAAAAAGTTTCATTAACAACGAAATGTCACTAACTCCAAAAAATAGGCAATGATTTTTTTTTGTTTTAACATTTTTTTTAATCTTAAAATGTTTATATTTTCCAACAAAATCACAAATCTTTCCCCTTCCTACATAGAATTATTAAAATATTTATGTTTTTGTTTAATTCATGCGAAAAATAATCGGTGTTTTTTTTGCGCAAATTTCTTTTATGAAATGTTAACACACACATTTGTCGGCTATACGTCTTCCTTTTTTTTAAAGGAACAAAGTTTGCAAATAGTTCTCAATTGCTTATTAAGATTTCTCTCCTGCATTCGGGAAGCGGACGGACCGGATCGAGCTTGTATCTCGAAAATCTTATTTTCTTTAAAAAGCATGTAAGGTAGGGGGAAGGGCAGGGAAATATTTTTAAATAAAAAATTTTTTTCCACGGGGAATTATTTTTTCATTGTTAAACAAGCGGCAGAAAAAATTTTCATACAAATAAAAATATTTCCTATGTTAAGAAAAGAATAAATAATATGTATTTGTTATACTCTATTAATTTAGTTTTAATTTTTTTTTTTTACTTTCACATAAATATAAAAAATTAGATATTAAAATTAAATTACCGGCTATATTCTTAATAATAAAAATTAAAGACATGCAGAGTTACCTTTTGTACGGCCCGGCCCGGATTTTATATTTTCAGACCCGGCCCGTTTGTTTTTAAAAAAAAATTCTTTCTCGCCCATCCCAAATTTTTTTTAAAAATATATTACATTTATTTTTAATTTTTTTATATAGGTAATAATGGAGATTTAAAATGTTCGATATTAAAATATACGGCCCGGCCCGGGTATATTTAAAATAATTAAAATATGGGGGCCTGCAGATCTCTTATAAAAAATAAAGGTATAATAAATAATTTATGATGTAATTTACAATTAATTATATAAAAGAAGAATATTAAATGGCTAATTTTTTTTTCTTCTTTCAATCTTATATATTGTATAAAAAGAAAATTAGAATTAAGTAAAAAAATATTTTGAAAATACTTAGTCAGGCAAAAGCTGACGTATTATTTTCGCCATATATTTAAAAAATCATTATTTTTTTTTTTGCCTAAAAAACCTTAAAATTTTTTTAATTTTAATTTTTTACTTTTTTACACCTTTTTCTAGTTGTAAGCTCCTTCGTATCTCCTCCCATTTTATGTTGTTCGTACAATCCGTTTTACCTTGCATTCACGGAGCGCCAATTAGCGGCGAAGTATACGCGGCATATTTTGTATAATTCGCCGCGAATTCGCGCTAACGCAACGAATAACGAACACGAATAGTAAATTATTCTTTTTGTTCGAGTGCGAATTTTTTTCTAATAAATCGAATATTTGACGATTGCGACAAGTTAATTAATTGAGTCGTTTTATTTTGAATCGATATTCCAATAATTTGATCGAATATTTGGATTATTCATAATAAATATTATGAATATGTTTTTTTTTAAATTAAATTTAATCATTTGTCATTTACATCGATATCCTTATCAATTTTATAAGTGATTCATGATATACATCAACTGCTCATGCAAGTTTTATTTTTATTTAGTTGGAACTAATTTGCTGTCAAAATCTCTAATTGTCTTTTAGGGCTTGTATCGATATTAAATATCGGATCGAATCTGAACCGATATTTAGCCTTTTTCAAATATCGGATCTGGCCGATACCCTTTAAACCCTGATCCGATCCGATATTTTTACTTCCTTTTTTTGTATTTTATATTATATATATTTATATAATTTATTTTACAATTATTAGTTTAAATATTTCAAAAGATTTTTTATTTATTTTTTATAACAATGGAAATGCGTAACACCAACCTAAATCTTATTTATTTAAATTGAAAATCAAAGAGAAACTAGTAACAAATAAAATAATTGAAAATCGTTAGTAATGTAGATGACCTGTCATGCTTGAAAGAAATCAAGGAATATTTAAAAGAATTATATCTAGACGGTTTTCGTACTTTATCTAGTATTGCTTAGATTGACACATTTGTTTAGGTGGTATGGTATGTGATTTTTTTTCAAACCCAACAAAAGTTTGAATTTGTATGAAACCCACTATTTTAAAAATGCTAGTTTTATGTATGTGTTTATTTAGGTGACTCTAATAACATTGATATTATATTCCCCGTGAATCTACACTATTGGAGAATCAATGCTAAAAAGTATCCAACTTTGTCAAAACTTGCATGTAAATTTTTGGCACCTCCTGTAGTAAGTGTCACATCTGAGTCTATCTTCAGTGCGGCAGGGGATATAGATAGTCGACATCGTAGAAGCTTATTGCCAGAAAATCTACAGGCTCATATTTATTTTTGAAAAATCTCAATATATTACAATTTTATATATTAATTACAATTTTATAATTCATGCCAACATATATAATATTAAAAATAAAATGGATATATTAATATATATTTTTTTTATCTATTATAAAGTTATTTTTTAAAAAAATTATAATTTTAATTGTAGAAATATAAATATTAAAATTAAATTAAATGCATAATTCGATTTTTTGCATATGAAATATGGATTTTTTGATTATACTTGGTTCAAAGGGGGATGGCATAAAATCAATATAAATATTAGATCGGTTTCAAACCAATATCGGATCGGATAGGCAAAAATATGTAGATTGGCACAGTCCTAATTTTTTTTATTAATATGATAAATTATTGGCCATAAAAATTGGCCTGGCATTTATAAATTGAATTAATATGCATTTTAATTTCGTTAATAATTTAATTGCATGTGTCACCAGATTATTATAATAATTTTATGTTTAAAAAATTGGATGTACGTTTAAAAAAATTTTCAAGATATTTTCGTATGGATTATTTTTTAATAATTATTCGAAAAATTCGAATCGTATACCAAGTAATGCGGTCTAATCTCTCTTATTTAATTTATATTTGGTGACGTTGGCCTTTATTTTATGGTCTTTAGGGGTTTACTTATTTTTTTAACGATATGGTTCGATCACTGTTTCGTTTTTTATTTTCCAAATATTCGAACCGAAATTTTTCATAAGAAATAAACTGGGCCGGAACTATCCGGGTTTGGTCAGATCGGATGCTTATGTACAATGATCTAGTCCTTATATTATATTATTAAAATATTCCCCTCCCCCCCCCCTTATTTTACAAGAAAATATTTAATCTGGTTTTGGATAATTTACTGCTTAACACAAAAAAAACCACGCAAATCATCCATCCTACACCATATTTTTTTTAAAACTACATCTTCGATAGGAAAAATATATTTTTTGTCTGGGGTTTTTTTTTATGATTCTTTCAAAATCATCGGATATCCAAACCCCCCCCCCTTTTTTCTAAGAAACAATCATAAAATAAATTCCTAAAAAACTCCTCTAAGCGTACGTCCAAAGCGCCAAAAAAACGTCGAAAGTTTATTTAATAATTTAAAAAAGAGAATATACAAAGTTAAACAACCTTCATTCATATGGTGCACGTGGATTGGGTGTTTTAATTTTGTTAAAATGACATTTAAGCCTACCCCTCCCCCTCCAGCCCCCCTTTTTTTACTTAATCGTTTTCAACACTATATTTAGGGTAATGGTGTATAGCTTTTGAACGTTATTGATTTTTTTTTATTATCTGTTTTATTAAAATATTAGATAGCGTCGTAATCTCCTAGTAGCGCCAGTAGCTCAGTTTCTATAGACGTTGATTGAGATATCACTTTACAAACCTCGATCTGGGTTCGAATCTAACAAGGGCAATATTATTTTTTTCTTCTGAAGCCAACTAGGGTTCTGATACGGGATAATTATGTATAAAATTAAGGAAGTGACTAAAATGGTCAACGGTCCTATCTTTTTCGAGAACCGCAGTCACCGGTTTTGTAATTTTTAAGTTTGCCTTACTATTCAATTCATATAATTCTTTTTGGCTATATTTTTATTTTATATTACTTTTCTAATGCACTGCTATATGAAAGTAAAAGGTTTGTCTAAAAAAAAGCATTTTAGTTATAAATTGAATATTTGTAATATTTATTATGGGAATACGGAAATATATTTTTTTTTAAATAACAAAAAATATTAAAAGACCAGCCATGCGGCCTTTTAATTTAGGACCACAGGTTAGACCGGTCTTTTATTTAAGTACCGTGACCTGGTCCGCGTGTATCGGCCCTGTTTAGACCTAAGACAGGGTTGTGGTCTTCACTAATCTTATTGCGTGTTTTAAAAAAAATTGGTCGTTGTTTAGCAAGTGACGCCATATATCTTTTACCCATTAATTTATAATTACGTATTGAAAAATAAAATAAATATACTTTTTATAATTTAATATTTACGCAAACAAGATTTTTTTTTCGCATTAAAAACAAATATTTGATCTAGACACTTTAAACGAGAAAAGAGTGATCTGATATATTGAACCCTTTACACACGCTAATAGGAATATATTCTTCCCCTTGCAAATAGAATTATCAGTAACATTCTCTTCTATCTCGACTTGTAGGACCAAAAGTAAATATTTAATATCCTTTTTTGTTTTGTTTTTATTATTTAAATTATAAAAACTAAATAAATACATAAAGTTGGCAAAAAAAACGTTTTATTAGCTAATTATATTTACTAACATACATATATATATTTTATTTTGTATAATTATAAGATTTTTATTATTCTCTTCATTAAAGCAACCATTTTCTAAAACTATTTTGGACAATATATTTGCAAATTTTTTAAAAAAAATCAAAATTTATTATTATTCTATTCTGTTTTCTCGGGACTAGAAGGTGAAAGAAAAAGAAATTATGTAATTTTTATTTATAACGGAGGCCCGTAGAGGTCTAAATTTTAAATCATTCATATTCGGGTTCTTTTTTTTTAATTCTTGCCGACCCGAAGTTTTTTTTTAAATTATACTCGCTCGGGCCATTTCACTATATCATTTTATACCTTTTAAAAAGCAGTATTTTTGTTAAGCGCTAAACCTTCTCAAAAGTAGTGCTCTACAGTAGACATCTGCAAAAGTAGGTCCGGCTCGGCCCAAGGGATCGGGCCTGGCTCTGGCCTAATTTTTTTATAAAAAATCGGGTTCGGGCCGGGCTTAATATTTTTTAAAAAAATTAGGGCCGGGTCGGGCCTTGGAAATTTTTTAAAATATGTTTTAGATTTATCAATTTTATATTGAATTTTTTATGTAAAATAAAAATATTTTATTTTATTTATAGAACTAGACGCCATATAACATATCTCTTTTATTTTGTTGAGTAATTATAAAAATTAATTTCTATATTTAAATAAATTCGGGCCGGTAAATTTTTTTTAAAAAAAATTCAGGTTCGGACATGGGCCGGCAAAACTTTTTTTAAAAAAATTTCGGGCCGGGCTTGAAAAATTAGGCCCGAATGTTACTTCTTTTAACGTAGCACTCTACAATTACTTCTTCAAACGTAGCTCACTACCGTTACTTCATCAAAAGTAGCGCACTATCGTTACAGGAGCGTTGAAGCAACTAGATTTAAGATAGCTTTCGTTACTTCTACGCTACTTTATATTTTAAAAAAAACTAAATGAAATATTATTTTTTCGATATTAATATTTAGAAATTACAATTTTAAAAAATATACATCAATATTGATTATTATACTTTACGATATATATTTTTTTCTCGTTTTGCTTATATTTTTGTGGTTATTTAGCCGGCTAGGACACGGCCAAATATTTATTCGGAGTGTTTAAGGATATATTATATATTTTTTCTGAGCATTTCAAGTTTTAATATATTTAATTTACCTCTTTTTATTTTTTATCCAGGCTTTCATGGTATTATTTTGGCTAAAATCTTAATCCGATTTTTAAAATCGACCCAAATCGGGCTTTTTAAGAGTACTAATCGTTATAAATATCTTGTAATCATATCGTATTTGTCTCCATCATCTCATTTCGAGGCAACCTATTTGTTAATAATTTTTCGATCAGATGGTGGTTAATTGAATTAAATTTATAATTACAAAATAAAATAAATAATAATAATAATTTAAAATATATTTATTTTTTAAATTTAAAAAATTATATATATATCCATTTTGATAAGGTAAAAAAAAAGAATTTCTCAAAATAACTGGGATTATTGGATCCTCTTTTAAAAATCACAATGAACTCAAATTTGTTCTATAGTCCAACTATCCTCCTCTTCCCCCCTTATATGTTTTTTTAAAATAATATCATCAAACACTGAAAACATACCAGAATAGGGTGTCCTAGTTCAACAGCTGTTTCGCAAAAAAAAATAATAAGTCTAACCCATGACAACTGCTTAAGCACCTTAGAGAATGATTAACGGATCTTATAATTTATTTTTCAAGCTAATTTTTTTTTAAAAAAAAATTTGAGGTCTGATGCGAAATAATTTTTTTTAAATCAAGGTTCGAACCCCGAATAGTACGAGAAAAATGTCTATTCTTAGTCCCTATCACAAAATAGCAATTTGATTAAATTACCTCTCATTGACAGTTAACGGGGAGATTTTCGCGCTAATTGGTGGGGGGGGGTATGTTATTAGAAATATGCAGAGGTCTAAAATTTTAGTCTCAGCATGGATTTGAAAAAAAAAATTTCCAATCCCGATCTGGTCCTATTTTAAAATTGATCATTTTAAGGAGCCAATCTTGAATTGTTTAAACTTTAAACATATATATATTTTCTTAAAAAAATTAATTTTGTCAAAACAAAAAGGATCATATAGGTTCGACATTCAATTTTACACCTTATAAACAACGTAACATACTCTCCCGGCCCTTTTCAAAAAAATAACTAACTTATGAAAATCACTAAAATTTGCTGCATAGGAGCCGGTTACGTAGGCGGTCCAACCTGCGCGGTTATAGCCTACAAATGTCCGCACATCAAAGTGACCGTCACCGATATAAATGCGGTCAGAATCGCTCAATGGAATTCTGACAAACTGCCTATTTACGAAGTTAATATTATTTTAACTCGTTGTCTCATCATAATAGCCTAATTTGGTTACATTTAAAACGTCCCATTTTTTACCTAGATTTTAAATTTAATTTTCATTCCATAAATTTCAATCCCAAACCCTAAAACCTCATATTTATATATGCATTCATTTTTTTAATTAACCCATTTTATTATTATTTTAAAAAAAATAAGCCTGGTTTAGAAGAGATTGTCAAATCCTGTCGCAATAAAAATCTATTTTTCTCCACCGACCTCGAGGAAAATATTATCGACGCCGATCTGATATTCATATCAGTCAACACACCTACCAAGGAATTCGGTTTAGGAAAGGTTTACAACTTATAATTTACCTTCATAACACTCTTTATTTTCCTCGTTTCCTTTCATTCCTGCTATTTTAAAGAGTTTCTACATGATCCATGGTTACTCAATATCTTGGCATAATTCTGATATTTTATCCTAACTTCTTATACGCGTGTTGACATAGGAGATAGGACATTAAATTATTGAAGAACATAAATAAATATTTGCTTCTTTTTTTTGTTTCGATTTTGCAAATTTTTTAAACAATGGATTCTTCTAACTCACAATCACAAATCAGGTGTTAAATATTTGAATTTTGCAGAAATGGCGTTGTTTTATAAATTAATTCGATGGCGTCGTTTAAATATAATAAATAAATAAAATAATCTTATGGTTGTTACCTTTTAGGGCAGAGGACCCGATCTGAAATACGTCGAATCCTGCGCCCGGCTCATAAGCAATTCCATTCTCAATAACCCAATTCCTAAAGGTTCTAATAAGCTTAAAATAGTTGTCGAAAAGAGTACGGTACCTGTTAGGGCCGCCGAAATGCTGTCCTTTATCCTGACTTCCACGTCTTTTTCCCATGGCAATAATGCTGCTAGTAGTAACCTACTTGCCAGCGAGGTTATTTTTTAAAAATAAAAATATTGTAATATATTATAGTTTTGAAAATATTTTAATTATGAGAAGGCTTATAGCGCGCACAAATTGAACGTTTACGTTTGTAATTTTTAAAATTTAAAAAAAATGTAACGCGACCCTTGTTTAAATTGAGGTTGCCTTTTTATCAATATCCATCGATTCAAAATTTTAAGAAAGTTCTAAGAAAAAAAGGATTTGTCTTTGAAAATTATATTATCGTCCGCGTTCTTATTTTTTAATTTTTTAAATATTCTTTTTTAGTTTTTTAGGATTATAAGTAAGTTATTTATATTACATTTTATATAATATTACAAAACGGAGAATAAAAAAAGTATTGAAAAAGCAACCCTGTTTGCGTTTTATTTTTAAATGGTTGCTAACGCCAAACGCTAATTTTACCAATTGGCACGAGACCATCTGAAAGGCATTATTGGCGCTTAACGCAGCGTTTCTCAATTTGTTCGCGCTATTATTCATTTTACACGTTTTTAAATTATATTATTTTGACAACTTGATAAAATATGTCTTATTTTTAATACATATGTTTATTATTTTTTTTGTAAAACCCTATTTTAACTTTGACTTGTCCTAACATGGCCACCTTAGCCTGCCTATGAAGATGCCAAGGATTATGAAAACAAAATTAAAAGTGAATCAAATGGAGAAACGAAAGATATCAATGGAAACGCGACGCATATGATGAACGGAATCGAAAACGCGATGGACGACTTCCTTATCGGACACAATCGAATTGGCAATGGTGGGGTCCATTTTGAAGTTTGATTTTTTTTATCAAATCAAAAACTTTTCGATATCTTTATCTCGATTTTTCGTTCACCTAAGAATATATATAGTCACCGCTGTAGCCCTAAAATTTGCAGCAGAACGCCATTATTCTAAAAAAAATTTAAACACTAATATGGACCAAAAATTAAAGGCGAATTTTTGTTTTTCCAAGAATTAGAAGGCAAAATTTTTTTGAATTTTTTTTAAAAAAAATAGCTTATAACGAAGCATCTCACATAAAATATATTATATTATTATATCTATTTAAAAAGTTATATAAGAATTGAAATATATTGTAAAAAAAAATATATTAAATATTGAAAAATGACATTTTTTAAAAAATTATATTAAAAGATGTTTTTTTACAATATTACTAATCCCAATTTATTATTCTCCCTCAATTATTTAAGAAATATAAAAGAGATTTAGAATATTGTTTTTTTAGCTTTAGATAAACTGATAGTTCTTGTCAAAAGTTCTTAGAGACAAATTGGAAATTCAAATAGAACATCATACATCAAGGCGGATAAGAATTTACCACTTTATAATCGGGTGAACAGCCCGCTAAATTTAGCACTGTTGCAAGAATTGGCTGAATTTTTGAAATTTCATATACAGGGTCTCATATTTAATGCAAACTGACTTAACAGTACAAAGACTGCTAGACACCCTTAATACATCGAGTACTCTTCCAATCTTCAGCAACTGAATGCCCAATTCAGACGCTATTTGATCCCACGTATTTTAATTTTTGTTAAACTGGCTATATAATCTACATTTTGTGTCAATAAATAAAACCTACTACAATCGTTTAAAATACATAGATATAAAAAAAAGAAATATTTATATAAAAAATTATCTATATCCTCTTTTCGTTGATTTTGCTTTGTTTATAAAAATAATTTGTAATTTCTTTCATCTTCATATAACAAATAAATGGCTAGTCAAAACTACATTCCCCTATTTCTATTGGATACTGGAACTAAAAGTTTTAAATTACATTAATATACCACCATTTTGTTTATTTAATGATATAATAATATTATACCACTATAGAAAAAATAATTTCAATTTTTTGGTGGGGATCGTTGTTGGGGACAAAAAATTTAAAACAAGTGGGGCACTGTATGCACCCTCTCGCACAACAGTCTTGGATATAGTATGCAATAAACTAATGCTTATTACACATATAATATATATTCATACCTCAGATCCTATCGAATCCCGAATTTTTAGCTGAGGGTAACGCCATTAAAGACTTGTTGGAACCGGATAGAGTTTTAATTGGCGGTCACGGCGACACCAAAAACGGCAAAATAGCTATAAGGGCCTTGTGCGAACTATACTGCAATTGGATACCTAGCGATAGGATCATAACCACCAACACTTGGTCTTCCGAACTTTCCAAATTGGTAAAATCAGACGTTTTTTTAGTATATGATTTTGCTAATATTTCTTTTCTTTGTTCCATTTATTTCTCTTTCGTCTCCAAATCTTTCTCTTTTCCTTTTTTTTCTCTTTATATTCCTTCTTTTTTATTTTCATTTTATTAACTTTTATAATGATACGTAATAGGCAGCCAACGCATTTCTCGCACAACGTATTAGTAGCATAAACGCCATATCAGCCATTTGCGAAGCTACAGGTGCCCACGTCGGTGAAGTGGCGCACGCTATCGGCCGCGACCACCGAATAGGACCACACTTTCTAAAGGCCAGTCTTGGTTTACATCTCATTCGAATTTTTTATTTACAATAATTTTTCCTTTGAAAATAATTTTTTTAAAACCAATTTAAAAGTAAAATTTTTTGTTTATTTTGTAATCCTCCTCTTACAAATGGAAGTTATTATTTATTTATTTTTTTAAATTATATTATTTATTAGGTTTTGGTGGCAGCTGTTTCAAAAAAGATGTTTTACATTTAGTTTACCTGAGTGAATGCCTCAATTTACCCGAAGTGGCAGCTTATTGGCAACAAGTTTACTCATAATTTTTTTAAAATATTCCTTATCTCAATTATAAAAAAAAATTATTTAACTCTTCGAACCCTCCGTTTTAAGGTAATAGCTCTCAACGAGTACCAAAGGAAGCGATTCTCCGATACGATAGTATCTTCGTTATTTAAAACTGTCTCCAACAAGAAAATAGCCTTACTCGGTTTTTCGTTCAAGGAAAATACGGGCGATACACGAGAATCGAGCGCCATTCACGTCTGCCGCTACTTGTTAGAAGAGCGGGCCAAACTGACCATCTACGACCCGAAAGTTGAAAAGGCCCAAATTCAGTGGGATCTTAAGCATTACGCCTCCTTCCACGAAGGGGAGAAATCCTCTGCCGAGACTAAGGAATGGGGGTCAATAGAGGATTTGGTGGATGAAAACGTGGCTATAGTTGAGGACGTGTATCTGGCTACCGAGGGAGCTCACGCTATAGTGATTTGCACGGAGTGGCAGGAATTCAAAGTTTTAAATATTACTAATTCACTTTTGTGTTTATCGAATGATTAGCTTATCAAAGAATTGTCAGAAAGCCAATCGGGTCCGGTTCCACTGCTCCATAATCCGAATTTTGTAAAAATAAAAACTCAATTTGAGATGGAGTTAACCGGACCGAGACCGACTAAATAACTAGATTCTATTTCTAAACTCGATCTGAAATAAGTCGATAACTTTTTTTTAGGATTGTGGAGCCGTCTGAATTGGTTCGGTTAACCTTCACATTATTGATTGGTTATTTTGAAATTTTCATTCCCATGTTCATTCGGCAATTTATTTTCTATACTATGGGTGTTAGGGCAATGATCATTTATGGGTTATGGATTAGTTATAGAGCGAAGACGAAGCTGCTTTACTTAGAGATTTTTTATCTTGCTTTACAAAAAAAAAATTATCATATTATATCCTCTTTTCAAGAATGGCAGGAATTTATTGTTAATTATTATTACTTTTTTGACCGATTTTTAAGAATTGGGTAACCAACTCTAACAACAATGAAATGAATAAGCATGGAAAGTAATAAATAGGAATAATAAATAAATAGGAATGGAAAAGTGTAGATCCAACATTTTTATGTATTTCAGAAAATCTTCTAGAGATCCGTTGATCTGATTTCCTGAGTGTTGACTCCTCCCTTGGATGAGGCACACCTTTTTTATATTCCTAATTTTTAACGATCTCTTCTAGAAATTTCTTTTTGGTCATTATTATTATTTTTGATAAAATAAATTATACAGACCCTAGATTATCAACGCATCTATGACCACATGTGCAAACCGGCGTTCATATTCGATGGCCGAATTCTTTTAAACGCCGAAAAACTCAAGAAAATTGGGTTCCACGTGCACACCATCGGTTCCTCCTTTCCTTCCCCTCATTCCCGGAAGTCATTTAGCAGTGCTAGAGCAGCTGGAGATTTCTCTCTTTAAAAAAAATATATATTTGCTCCAAATTTTCAATTCATTCCATCTATTTATTAAATCCGAATGATTTTTTCTTTTTTATGTTCTCCCATTCCATTAGTAAATTTTAAATATTTTTTAATCTCCCCTATGAATTTCTCATTCATTCCATCATACGATTTTATCAATAGTCAAATGTTTTCAGCCTATCTTATAAAAACATTTATTTCTCGAACAGAGAGATATTTTATAAAAAAAAAAATTCCTACAATTTCTGATCACATAATTTTAAAAAAAAAATTTTTCCTTCCTTATTTCTTCGATACATTAATACATTATTTGCTTATAATCAAAATTTAATTCCCTCAACCGTTATTTTTTTTCAAAAATATTATAGCCATTTAAAAAAAACTCTTTAATTATTATTATTATCTATGTTTTTTTTGTAAAATTGATTATTTTCCCACTTGCTATGCTAAGGCCACCTATTTTTTTTTTACAAAGTAAAGGTAAACTCGTACTCCATTTTAATTCAGATAATTACCTTCCTTTTTAAAAAAATAAGTGGCGGTTCTTTATTTTTTCAAACTTATTTACTTGGGAATAATAAATACACTTTTATGTCGGACGGAAATATGATAAACATGAAGTTAAATGCTATATTCTTTTTTTTAAAAAAGAAAATTCCATATTTTCTAAATTAATTGTAAAATTAGGTATTTTTTTATTTTATAAAATAAGATTCAATATTTATAATTAACTCTAATGGGAACACGGGATTAAATTGCGTTTAATAATTTCGGTATTATAGAAGAAAGAAAAATCAAAAATTTCTATTTTCCTCGATATTTTTATATTGCCAAAAATTTTAAAAAACAAAAAAATACAAATTTTATGTGATATTTTGTATATATATTTTAATGTCTAGATTTAATTTTATATAACAAAATTTCGAAATAATCACTTTCAATATTATTTTACAAAGGTCCCAATTTATATTTCCATTCATAATAATCGATATTTGGGAAAAATCTATATTCATTGTATGCAATATGAATGAATAAAAGGATAGGGTTTTTTATTATATGCTGTTATATTATCCCAAACCATTTCAAACCTGTATATTGTTATAATGTAAGATATCCATATTTTTAAAATATAAATGACTATTTTTTTATGATTTATTACCAATTTTTTTAATACGAATATTTTATTTTTTTAAAAAATTAATTTATCAAATTTGTTAAATATGATTATAATTAACTTTTGGGAGAGTATTTTTTTTGTAAGAAAAAGAAGAATTCGAAATACTACGTTATTTAATAATATATAATTATTGTAAATGAAATTATATTATTTATTTATGTTAAAAAGAGGTACAGAATGATTTATCCAATTTTTTAAATTATATTTAAATTTGGTGCTTTATTATTATTTTTTTGACAATAAATTATATTACCCTTTTTCTTATAACAAACTTACCCTTGCATTCACAGTTATCATGAATTCGAGTCAAAGTATATGAAATATGATATAAATATAATATATTTACATTAATTTTTTGTATACTCCGCCGTGGAATCGCCCTCTCTGTTAATACAGGGAATGATTTTATTGATCAATGATAAAACGAGACAGATTAAGATAAAAATAATTAAAAATTTTGTGGATATACTTTAGGCTTATATAATGAGTTCGCTTAGAATATGCATTTATATCAGTTTGAAATCTTTGAGGCCGGATCCTGTTCTACAAAGTCAAAACAGAACATATTCTTATATCCCTTAGTAGATATCTTAAAAATTCTAATAAATCTGGATAACCCACTCACTAATTTTTTTTATAAGGACTAGGCTTTAAATTTGATTTAATTAATAGAACCAGGTTTGAAATTTGATTTAATCAATAGCTATAAATTTTATTTATTGTATATGGATATTTAGCAACGAGAACAAATGTGAATAAAACAAAATTTTAATCAGAATTAAGTATCATAAGCAACAGCACCATCAAAGTTCACCCATAAAACGGATATCCACCATAAGCCCCATAGCCATAACCCCCATATCCGCCATACGGATAGCCATAGCCGCCATAACCCCCATATAATCCTCCATAATATGGTAAGCCAAATTGAGCGCTCACTTTTCCATTTTGAAACATCGCGAAAGCCAAAACCTATTATATTTACAAGAATAAATAATTTAATTTAAAATTTTTAGATTCGGGGAAAGAAGGAATTTTATTTAAATCTGGAATTCCGCTGAGTATAGTAATACACTATCCTAAAAATTCACACACATATTAGTCGGCATATTAAAATATTTCGTATAAAAGATATATAAAACTTACGATCGCTAGGAATAACAGAACTGAAGTGAAGGATTTCATTCTTTTATCGAGTATGATTAATATACAAAAAAATTAAGTTAAAATTATAACTAGATTTAATGAAAGTTGAATTTTCGAAGTTCTTTTATAGCCAATTTTTTTTATCCTTTTGAATCATATTATGGGACAATGCAAATTTTAAAATATGAATAATGTTATTAATAAAATAATGGGTAAATTTTTATAATATTTTTTTTTCCCCATTATGATTTTTGGATATTCAAATATCAAATCATTTTCCAATTGTTTTTTAAATTTAATATTATACTATTTATTCATTTTTGAATAATATATTAAAAAAACACATTTTTATTTTCCACTCTTCTATAAGTAGTAAAAATAATTGTTAATTTTTAAGATAAGGACAAGGAATTTCGAAATATTATTAAAAACTAATCTCTATAACATAGGTTTTAAATTAAAGTCGTAATTTTTTTTTTAAGTATAACTAAATACCAAAAAAGGGTCTAAAATTATTATTCATAATTACAAATTTATATGTTTAAAAGTTATTTCTAGAAGGAAATAAAGAATTTATTGTAACTTTTTTAGATTTTTCTGGAAATCTGAGTATTTGAATCGCTCATGATTACAGTACCCATTTTAAACTCATATAAAAACTTTTAACTTACTAAATCCATTATAAAAAAATAAAAATAAATGAAGTATAATTATTGTGTGACATTTAGTAGACAATCAATTCATTTCCTTAAAATGATATTTATATAAGCAATTTAATGGTAATACTTGATCCAGCAATTGTCAACTTATTCTTTTTCATTTTATCAAATGCACCCCTACCTTTTTTTCTTTCTTTCACACACCAATGGTGTTTCTAAGAACTCTATTTAGAAGCAAAGGGGTAGAGGGGGGGGGGGCGAGATAAAACGCATAATATATTTTTTATTATAAAATACCTTTATATATTAAAAATGGGGAAAAATTCAAAAGGGGGAGGAGATAGGTGGGTGTCGAATGCCTCTTTGACCCCTCTCTAAATAGGCCACTGTCGTATGTCCAAATAGCCGCCAAAATGTTATTCGCGCCAACCGATGAAATTTAAAACCGAAATTTTAAATTTTTCAAAAATCTCGTGAGGTAAATATCAGTACATTTTAAATATAACAGTTTTTACCAGGGTTTCGAACCGAACCGAACCGCCAAACCGGAATGAACCGTTATAATTTTCTGAACCGTAACCGTAACCGAACCGTTATAAAGAAACTATAAAAAGAGCGAACCGAACCGTTATAAATATTTTAAACCGGTTTAAACCGGTTCAAAACGGTTTTAAAAAATAATTAAATTTAAACATTATTAACCTAAAATTGAAATTTGAATTTTCCTTGGGGAAATTTTTAAACTCTTTATTTCTTTTCAAATTGATTTTTTTTTACATGTCAATTAATACCACCTTGTTTATTGTTTTTTCTTTTCACTTTAATAAATACTCAATTTAATAGAGATTAGGCGAATTACCAGTTAATTAGATAAGAATCTTAAAATCAAACAAGACTATTCTTTAAATTAACAAGTTTATTCTTATATATATATGTACATTAGTTATTAGTTAGTTTATTAATACTTGCTAATAATTTGGGAAAAATCATAATTCTAACTAACATCTAAAGAAAATCAGGTACTGATTACTTTTAATAAAATACTGTTTTATATTAATTTCTTATTAATTAATATTTTCATAATGAATAATTTATAATGACTTAAATGAATATTAGAATTCTGAAATTAAAAAAAACATATGATTGTTAATTAATATTCCTGTATTTTATGGTTAATTTATTTATTTATTTCCATTTACACTTTAGTGGATAATTTCTTGAAATAATAACTACTTACTGATTAACCTTCTAAATCTTATAGTACCAAATAAAATTTAAACACATGAAATTCAATTGGATAATTATAAAATGATAAAGTATCCATTAAAGTTTTAATTTAATTAACTTTAATTTTTTAATAAAAGACAGTTGTTTTTGGAATTTTAAACAGCTTTTCTATTTCTTTTCTTCTTATTTTATATCTTATCTTTTTGCTTCTTTCTTTTCTCTATTAAATCAAATTATTTATTAAAATGGTATTAGTAAGCTCCATTCACTTATTTAGTTTCATCTGTGTACAAGGAATGTTGTTAGTATCTTTGAGGAAAAAATCGGCATAATTATATGAAGGGTAGGCCTGCATATAATTCACGTTTTTGGGGGAGATCTTGTCAGATAAGATAAATAAAAAATTATACTGATTCTATTAAGAAATTTATTTATTCTATTTTTATAATAAAAGATTCTGATCTATTCATCATCATATAGCATATTAGTATCTATTAAATGGTTCGGGAAAAGTCAAATCCTGTGCGATCATATTTTAAATTAGATATTGTAAAAAATCAATCTACTTGTAAACTAGAAAACTGTGGTAAAGTTTTAACCGGGGACCATGCAGCAAATCTTGAACAACATATAGAAAGATTCCACGATAAGGAATTCAAATTATTAAAAAAAAAAAAAGATAATTTGACTATTAAAAAAACAATAACAAAAAATGCAAATAATCATAATACAATTCAAAATGCTTTTACCAAAACTAATACAATACAAATTAATATTAATAAAGACACTTTAATCCGCTCCTGCACTGAGTTAATCACAGTTCATGGGAGACCAATAAAATCAATTGATGACAAAGCCTTTAGAAATATTATAGATCCGATAATTGTAGGATTGGGTGGTAATTTAACCATCAATTCTGAAAATATACCCAATAATATTAAAAAAAATGGCATTTGATTTTTCGCAAAATTTAAAAAAAGAAACATACCAAAAACTTATATCGTTAAAATTAGATATTGCAACTCGATATAGGTCCATACTGGGGATCAATATTCAATTTATAGATAATGGAGAAATAAAATTAAGAACGACGTTATGCATGAAAGAGATAAAAGAAAGACATACATCAGAATATCTAAAAAAAATTATTCTAGATGTTCTAAACGAACATGAAATAAGAATTGATCAAATTTATACGATAAACACAGACAATGCAGCTAACATGATTAAATTAATCAAGCTGTTAATACATCATGATGAAGAAGATGATGAAGATGATATCCTTAATGATTATTTAGATAATGATAATTTAAATAACAATGATGATATAATTGTTAATGAAAATGAAGAACCTTTTTTTAATAATGAAAGTATTAATATTGTACCTCATACGAGATCCATGTTAATGGGCATATGTGCCTCCCACACATTTCAATTAGCAATTAATGATTGCATAAAAAATTCAAATGAAATTGTTATTATTAATAAAGCAAGAAACATTTGCAAAAAAATAAGAAATCAGACTACAATGTCTATTTTGTCCAAATTAAATTTAAAAAAGCCACTAATAGATTGTTGCACAAGATGGAATTCAATCTATTTAATGTTGGAAAGATTATTAGAGTTAAAAAACTTTTGCCGAGAAATATCGGCCCAAAGTAATGATCGTGAAAAATGTTTGTCAGAGAATGAATGGAAAATAATTAGTGATATATTAAAAGCTTTATATCCATCTTATATTTTGACAAAATATATACAAAGTGAACAAATGACCATGGGCGATTTTTATGCAGCATGGATCAAATGTATCATGCAAACTAGCAAAATAGACACTTCATTTGCCAAACTTTTACTTTGTACAATCAAAGCACGAGCGATTAATTTGAAAAATGAAGTTTTTTGCTCAGCTATATATCTCGACCCAAGATATAATGTATTTTGATCATTTGAAGAAAAAGATATCGCCAAAAAACATCTTTATAAAACTTGGAACTTAATCCAAAATTTAAATAATCATAATATTGAAAATCTAGATACTATTCCTACGTGTTCACATTCGAAAGATAACTTAGATGATGATTTTGAAGATTTATTAATGTCGCATGAAAGCCCTAATAAGAATTGTTCTCAGGGCATAAAAAATTATAATAAATGTGTAGAAATAGAGTATATAATTCGGTCATTTGATAATATAGAGAGATTAGAAAAAGATGCAAATCTTTTGAATT